AAATTACGTTATGTAATTGGTTTAAAAGTTTTTTTTCCCGATAAGTTATTTGATTAAGCAATTTTTATAATTTGCCAATGTATTTAAAATTTATTATGTAAGTTAATTAGAAGAGCTTCATAAAAATATTAAGAATCTTAATAGGCAAATATAGTTTTAAGAATTTGATACTAATTTAATTAAAATCTTCGTTAATTTAATTAAGTCGTTTTTTGAGTGTATAGTGATTAAAATATAGGGCTTAAATAAATATCAAAGTTTGAAAATATTAGATGCTTACCTCTTGTGAGCTCATTCAACACTCAAATATGCAAAATATATGACATAATTCACTGAAGTCAGTCCCTTTTATATACGACACTCTTCAAACCGGTTTAAAAAACGGCAATGCAAGTTAAAACACGATTGCTGCAGCAGGCTCATTATCGCTTTTCTGGGAAACTTCATTGCAGGTACTTAAACAAAAAGTGCTCTGATATCCAAAGTCGCAAAAAGTCGCCTGTTCGGGTTTAATCAGTGTATTGAACCAGTGTTCCAGATTTAAATATAAATATATAAACACATATGTACAACACACAAATATACGTAGAAGCACACGCACACATTTTCTCTATCACAAAGCTGTGTAACCACGCGCACACTCGTCACACTACTTGTATCAACTGCCTGTAAGCATTGTATCATCTTACAACAATGTGCACAGAGGCGACTGCAGGAATGAACTCTCATTGCAGGTACTTACACAAAAAGCGCTCTGATATCCAAAGTCGCAAAAAGTCACCAAATTTTTTATTTCACTGATTTTCCTAAAACTTGTATTACTGTCAGATGCAAAAATCAGATTGGACAAATTTGGACATTTTTATTTACACTTATTTTAATTTTTTATACATAGTAAGTTTATCTACAATCTATGATATTGCCATATAAATAATTATATTTTAGCTCATTTGTGGCACAGTGCAGCGGTGGGCCGGATGAACTGACCTCGCGGGCTTTAGTTTGGTGACCCCTGATCTAGACTAAACACAACTTTATGTACACTATATTTCTAAACAGTTACTAATATATTGTTACCAAGGGTATATCTGTTGTTTTTAACTCTTAGATCAAATGCCAGGGAAAAATTTAAAAAACCTGAATATGCAATTATTATACGATAATTTCAGAATTATATGAAAAATATTTTAGTTCATATTATGAAGTTTATTAGTTCTAATCCGTGAAATCAAGAAAGTTCCATGGTAACTAAATTACTTGTTCATCTCTGTATAACTTCAAAACACTTGTACAATGGCTTGAATCAAAACACTAAATATGCTAAAATTACAACGTACTTCTAGGATAGATAACTAATACAATAAATACAAATGACCTAATGAGCAACAACAGCAACAATATTAGCTGATTTAAAGACTGGAAAAATTAGAGTAGAATACTAATTGTTTTTAATGTAGGAAAACTTTTGCAAAATATTAACCAATTTCTATGTTTGAAGATTATAATAATTATTAATAAATTCTGATCAAAAGTAAGCTAACTATATGAATCAGGATTGAAAAGTATATTATACATTAGTGAAGCTAATACTATATAATAAACAGCAATGCATAATGTCATAAATCAATACACAAGGTGTCTAAAACCTATAATAATTAGAATACACTGATTCATCAGTTTGTTATCTTTGTTATGGACAATATTTTCAACTGTAAAATTTTGACTCACCCCTAAGACAGATAACTAACCAAACAATACCCTTTGATTAAATGAATAATACATAATACAATTCTGTATGATGTTTATGATGGAATATTACACTATAGTTATGTCTCATATTTACATTGTAAACCTTTGTGTACCAGGGCCCCAAGTTTAATGCAGCCATGGTATTTTACTCTTCCATAATTTACATACAATCACAACATAATCAAAGTCTGAATTCCTTGAAAATGGTAAAGTCAACTCTAGGTCATTGTTACCAGATCTGTAACTTCTGACTTAGTTATAACTTAGTTTATTTCTTGTTGTTTATTAAATAATTTCCTGCTGACTAGACATAGACAGTTTGATTAATGGCCTAATGAAAGACTTCTAGTATCTAAAAGTATTTGTTTTTGTTACTAATATTATCTTAAATGTTGTTTTAAGCTGATTTTACTTCAGGTAAGGGTTACATCACTTTACATTTGGCCACATTATAAATGCATATTTTTCTATGCATAATCAGGAATTTTATGTTGTGTGATTTCAAACAGTTGGTTATAAAATTTTAATATTTCTTCTGCATAAGAATTGAATCTCTGATGTACACATCACTAATTAAATTATATGTTCAAATATTACAATATAATGCTGACTAACCTCTTTGTTAAAAGAAGTAATACCTACTTCCAAAGACAACATTGCATTACAATATTAGCTGGCTTTTGTGTTTACTAAAATACTGACTGACCTTTGCATTGGAATGTTACTCTATGAGGCTCATCATCTTCTATTAAGGTTAGGAAACTACAAGAGTGACTGACCTCTTTATAAAATACTACACCACAAGACTAGCTCATATTAATACTGTAAAAGAATACTGCTTTGCTTACTCACCTCTACAGTGAAATACTATACTAAATGATTAACTTCTATTTTCGATGGAAAACCAAACTGTTTGAGCTTTATGTTGTAAGAACGTATACAATAATTACCCATTTATTGAAAGACTGCACTGCAAGGCTTACCTCTATGTTGGATAAAGAAATATTTGTCACACCATTCCTTGAACTTGGAATAGTATGATGGGTTGTGTTTATCACATGCTTGCTTTAGAGTCTGATGAAAATGGCGGCAATCTTCTTCATCCAGAATGTAAGGAGTCAAGTCTGTTCCTCCTCCAAACCACCACTGGATTGTGCCATCTTCTTCTTTAACTTCAAAGTACCGATAATTGAAGTGTATTGTTGGAACATTTGGGTTACGCTGCAGATGGAGAATAAGAAGTTTTAGTGGTTACCAGTAAACCTGTATTCTTAATATGAAGAAAATCAAAAAATGAATAAAAAATGACTTAAATACAAAAATATGAAACCCTATAACCCAAGTATTTTCGAAAGGTGGACCTTTCTTTATCATATAACAATTACTGAGATATAAACAGGGATGTAAAATATTAACCAACAGACAGAATATTTATACTGCATGTTACACAGCGAGATAATGAAAAATATAATATGATATTACACAGTAACAGATAAAAAAATATACGACAATACCAACTCTATTGACAGAATTTGTTAACTGTTATGTGACAAACAAATAATTCATTTTGTGGTACAACATATTCAGTCAAAGACGACAACTCATACCGGATGTATGACGGAACTAACACCTGCTGCAAAAAATGGGAGCTTTCCTTCTGATAGCTTCTTTCCTCTGAAATTACAGGAAAACAAATCATTGAGAATACAGTACAATATCATATGTCTAATATATTTGTGTATGTGTAAACATTTTAATAGCTATATATATATATATGTGTGTGTGTGTGTTTGTATAGCTTGCTATATGATATCAAATTATAATAAACAATAAGAAATGAAACATCATGATGAATTCTAATTAGTTACACAATGCGACAGTGATTTGGTAGCTACCTTCATCTTGAACTTCAAAGTATCAATAATTGAAGTGTATTATTGGAACATTTGGCTAATGAACAAATATGGTTAACAAAACTTATTACATGTAATAAGCTTAGAACATATATACATATAGTTATTTAACATAAATTTAGACATCACAAATTTGTAATAAAGTACATTTATGAACCAGTATTTGACCAGTTCTAACAAACTAAAAAACCTAAATGTGAAGCCTAACATATAAGTAATAAAATCTGAAAGCATATTTTGTTCCAGATATTAAAGATAATTACAGTGATTATTTTAACTACCATTTACTTTGTATACAAATTCTCATTTAAGTAAAAAAAATACTGAGACTATTTCTGGTTTTGTCATTAATCATTAAAAAGAGACCTTTGTTAATTTATGTACAAGGAACTTTATGAACATTAAAATAACTTCTTTCATACTTCTCTTATTGCAAAGATAGTTGTGAATTCAGTGTATCAAATCTACTGATTTAAAACCAAAACTGAATATATTTAACTTTCCCTGTTTTTAAACTTAGTGGTTTGTTATGAATTTCGTGCAAAGCTATACAAGGGCTATCTGCACTAGCCATCCCTAATTTAGCAGTGTAAGACTAGAGAGAAGGCAGCTAGTCATCACCACCCACCGCCAACTCTTGGGCTACACTTTTACCAACGAATAGTAGGATTAACCATCACATTATAATGCCCCCATGGCTGAAAAGGCGAGTATGTTTGGTGTGTTGAGGATTTGAACTGGGATCCGCAGATTGCGAGTTGAGCGCCCTAACCATCTGGCCATGCTGGGCCTTAAAATTAGTGAAATATTGTATGCCATCTTTATATCAGTCCAACAGAAATCTATAGTTCCAATAACACATGAAATAAGTGTTAGCATTAACATAAATACTCCAAAAATTAAGTCTCCCATGGTTTGTAATGATGCCACATAATGATGATGCTTACATTAACTATTCTCATTGTTGAGACTATAATTTTTTATTTAATTTCAAAAATAGGAAGTAAGTTTCATTGCTCTTCAGATAAGAAACAGATATGATTCACTGTTCAATGAATATTTTAAAACAAAAAAAGCTTGTATGATCATTCATGTTGACTATGCTATTACTTTAACCCTTTCCAGATGGGTCACAGGTCAAAAGCCGTGTCATCTCGTTTGTTGACTCACAATCAAAATTTTGTTGAACTACTATTTTATGAAGTTATGTCAATCAGTTTGGTATCAAACTGTAGATTATAATTCAAATTTTCATATTATACATTATTTAAAAGTAAATATAAAAAAACAACTAAACATCGATTTTTGTATGTCACATGGTACAGTGAATGCAGCCCTAGTTCAAATCAGATGTTTGTGATGTCAAAATACAAGGTCTATAGTTTTGTACAAATTAGGAACTCAAATTACTGGTATTGACAAGCTGGAATATACAATAAGAATCTCCCATCTTTTCTACTTGCTGAGATATCACTCATACACTGAATCAAACACAGTGGCTTGCTCACCTCTTTCCATTTTTGAAAATGGTCACTTATATACACTAACTTCTATATATGACATGTGAATAACCATCAGAAGCTCAGAATGTCCCCCTAGTGGCTTTCTCAGCCATTTTCAGATATAATGGCATCATCTCTTTCTTTCAATACAAATCTTCAAGCTGGTAAGGTGAGATATTAGTCTGCTCAAAATTTAATATTTTTTTTAGACCCAAATACAGTGTCGTTACTAAACATGATACATTATAATAGAGTTCTATGGTATCAGTATAGTAAGTTTTGATTTTTTGGTTATTCAACTGTTTATATAAAACCTAAAAAAAATATTTTGTTTCACATCTTCCAAGTGCAAAATTTTTTAAGGCTTAGCAAGCTACGACAAGTAGCAACCGTGTACAAAAGTTTTAACTAAAAGAGATAATTGTTTGCTTTACTTCTTTATTTACTGTTCTATGTTTGAAGAAAAATAAGTTTAAGAACTTATTTCAAAATAGCAATAATCTATATACGTATGTAGTGTATAATAATTGAAATGTGACTGTATTTTACAAAATACTAGTCCACTAAAACACAGCCATGACAGGTCATTTTGTAAAGACTACAGGTCAGTTTTATATTATTGGATACGGTAATGAATGCATGTGCACCATGTCATTATAACTTCTGTATTGTTAGCCAGGCACAGCTGAAAGATCAATATAATAAAAATAATAAATACATATATATATAAATGTAGAATGTTATGAAATTTAAACTATTTAGTCTAAACATTTACGTTTTCATGTTATAATTTGTAATCATTCTAGAACAAAAAAGGCATAATTTATATTTATTCCCAAACTTTTTATGGTGGTTACAAGATTGATCAAATCAACCAAACCCCTACAGAGATAAATTAATGAAAATAGCAGATAAAATACAAAGATTTTCCTTAAGAAACATTTGATAACTATCTGGACATTATCAGGATTTTGCATGTGAAATTTGAAAATTTT